GAAAGACAGCAAGGAGGGAGAGAGAGAGGAGAGACAGCCAGGAGAGAGAGCGTGGAAAGACAGCCAGGGGGAGAGAGCAAAGAGTCACAGCCAGGAGAGAGTGAGAAGTCACAACTAGGAGAGACCGAGGAGAGACATATATATATATATATATATATATATATATATATATATATATATATATATATATATATTGTACAGTATATACATACAATGAAGTGTACACTCTTTCTTCTTCAGCGAGTGCCCACAAATAGGAAACCACCCAAGACCCCAGTCATATAGTAAAGACAGCAGTAAGGTCGCAACACTTCAATGTCTTTTCTCCTTTTATTCAATCATGATAACATTAAAACATATCCACAAATGGCAGCAATTTCGGATCACACACAATCCTCTCAAGCCATGAAATTGTTTTTACTTTTTTACAAAGTAATCACATTTATGATTCATTTACATAGTAACTCCACCAGATATGATGTAATCTCTTAGTATATCTTTAAGCCTTACTTAGTATAAATTAATTACTTCCTTGAGGAAGGATCGTCTTACAATATATAATATATATTCTAAATGATGCGTGTGTGACACTATTTAACTAACTAATGATGTATTGATCCATTGTGTATGGTATTCTTTCTGTGTACGCTTTATACTGAGCTAACAATTAGTTACTGTATTAAGCCTCCAATAAAACTGATCCAGGAAAGGCTGATAAAAGGAATACAGCAAATATTGATAGAGAGGGAGGTACGGTGATAAGGAAAGCAGAGTGACAACAGCATCACTCATGGAAAAGTTAACAGAGACATGTCAAAGATAGGAAATATTACTCTGTGCTACATGCACGCTACAAGCCCTTTCCCATGGTAATGCACATATATTTCCTAACAAGTATGTGGCACTAAAAAAAGGTTTCATAATAGCATTAGGTTAACAGGAAAGTCACAGACACGCTCAATCTGATATAATAATGTTGTGCCAAGAGCAATCATAATGTGCAAGGGGTCTAGGCTACACTAATGGTGTGACGTTTGTAGGATTTGTTCATAATATAACTGATTTCCTTATAGAAGTGAAACCTATGTGGAAGTTGATTGGCTTGTACCATAAAACTGGTTACCGTCTGTGTTCTTGGTTGTGGAAAGGACACACGTTTGGATCACCAAGAAATATATACATTAGAACAATGATGGACAGGTTGGAACAGCCACCAGATCTCAAACCTATCCAGATTTTGTGGAAAGAGCTTTACCATATGGTTAAAGTAAAATGTCCTACATGACAGCTGCAGCCTTAAAGTAAAGGAGCAAATCAAATAATTGAGTGTATCATATCAATTCAGGAGACATGATGTGAAGGAGACATGACATGAAGGAGACATGATATGAAGGAGACATGATATGAAGGAGATATGATGATTCCAGAGATATGATGATTCCGGAGATATGATGTGAAGGAGATATGATTCCGAAGACATGATGTGAAGGAGACATGATATGAAGGAGATATGATGATTCCGGAGACATGATGATTCCGGAGATATAATGACCCAGCAGATATGATGATTCCGGAGATATGATGATCCCAGAGATATGATGATCATCTACTTGCTTGGAGGAGGAAGAAGGAAGGAGGGGGGAAGAAGGAAGGAGGGGGGAAGGAGGAGGAGAGTGGATTGCCTTAATGTGTCTGTGTGTTTGTGGAGACACATACCCTACCAGCACACACAAGGGTGGCTCCATAGGACCCTGCAAGGGAAAGGAGCCCCCCTAAAACAGGACATCAGGACCAGTGCTCAAGGAACCAGTTGATTCTGCAGGAAACTAAAACGTTTATACATCATGGAGCAGCATCCATTGTAAGTGATTTCATCAGCATCTGAAATAGCTTAAAAAGCGCTTAACTTTTAATATCACTTTAATGTGCAGAAAGTGATTGGCTGAAGTGTATTTCCACCTTTGCAGACAGATATGAAACCCCCCACTATGTGTGTTATATGTTCGCCTTTCACGCACCATACCTAATTTTTTTTTAGGAAAAAAGCCTTACCTTTCTAGTTGTTTCTTTGTAGAGACATTATACCCAGGACTCTATAGGCAGCTTGTATAGTTCAGAACAACTTTGGGGACAGGTTGATTTAATAGTGCATTACATGAATACGATGATTAACGAACAGCTAACAGCAATCTTGTCGGACACTTACACCAGGTTTGAAAGAGTTTGGGGGTCCTGGATCTCCGACACCGAACCACGACACTTTGACCCAAACCAGTTAACAACTTGACGTGAGTTCTCCTTATAAGACAACCGGAGGAAAACTCACCTGATCTACACGAGCCATTGTACACCCTACACCAATGGTTCTCAACCTGTGTAACTTCGGGGCCCACATTTGTCCTTGGTCATTAGGCCGTGACCCAAGTCACACGGCAATGGAACGCACGGCATTGCGGTACTACGGGTTCTGGTGCAGGCGATCGAACTGTGGGTGGGAGATGCATTTGGGGTACCATTCAAATGAATGGCAGCGCAACGCACCTCCCGCCCCAGAACGCACAGCGGATGCGTTTGCATGGTGCAGTGCAATAATCGCCCGAGACTGTGCAATTAATAACACTGTGCCAGAGTGAACAGGCCCTCAAAAACACCGGTAGACACACACAACCACAGACACAATCTCACACACTCGCAGACATTCTCAGACACACACTCCAAAAAAATGTATTAATTTTTTTTAAGATGCACTTAGTCTCCCTAATTTTCGAGAACTGGAGTGGATCCTCAGCCTGGGGTCCAGTGTGGGCTGCTGTGCTGTGACGGAGCTCCATCTATATGTGCATTGCTTGTACAGCTCCATTTCGCGCCCTGTAGAGGTGCCGGGAGCCAGAATGTGATGTCACTCTGGTCCAGGCATCTCTACAGGATACGTGAGGGAGCTGTAAGCAATACACACATGGATGGAGCTCCCTCGCGGCCATAGCCCCAGCCCACCCTACCTCAAGCTGACACTCGGCGCCAGATAGCATGTTTTGAATGCTGCTTGGTGCGAGAACTGACTGTGTTGCTCTAGGAAGAGACTGAGAAGCCTCTCACCTGGAAAAGTGGAAGGCACGCAGCGACCTACTGAACATGGAGTCGCGACCCACCATTGGGTCACGACCCACCAGTTGAGAACCAAGGCTCTACACTATACTCTCTCATACCATGATCCCCTTATGGGGATAACCTTCCCACTCTATTACCCTGCTGTGCCCCTAAGGCCTTGTTCACACCAAGCGCGTTCCAGGAGCAGAGCAGAGCAGTTACAGACCGGAGCAAAACTGCGTCCAATGTATTCTAATTGTATTTCACATCGCAGCGTTCAGTTCCAGAGCAGGTAAAAAAACTGCAGCAAGCCCTATTTTACCTGCTCTGGAACTCATGCAAACGCATCAAAAACGCATGCAAACGCCCTGGAACACACTGAAAGCCCATTTTAAACTAAAATAAATATATATTTTTTTAACCAAAAATGGCTCGGAACACATCAAAAACGCGGCAAAACCCACTGCACTGCGTGTGCAGAAACTCCTGCAGATCTGCTGTGCATTTGGTGTGAACAAGGCCTAATAGTCTCTGTTTAGTAGGTTTTATCAGCCACCATTTAATATGCGATTTGCTCCAGGACCAATTTAAGGTCCTCAGTACAGACAGTACTACAGAAAGGGTTCCAATAGATGTTCCTTCTGTGATTCAAATCTATTATTTGGAATCTCCAAGTCTACTTGCTATATGTCATTTTACCTGTAGTGTTCTTATCAGATTTAGACTACCTGCTGTGTCAGCAATGATTTATACTGTAACGTTGCATATTACCTGTGAGGTTGTTTGATAACAATAAAAATTTTTTTTTGTGGAAAAAAAATAAAAGTACATTACTATACAATGGGGGGAATTTATCAAAACTGGTGCAGACAGAATCTGGAAGAGTTGCCCATAGTAACCAATCAGCTTCTATCTTTCATTTTCAACACACTGAAGAGAGAAGCTAATTAGTTTCCATGAGAAACTTCTCCAGATCCTCTCTGCTCCACTTTTTATAAACTCCCCCCATTGTAACACCCAAGCCTTGAGATACTTAACCCTTTGTTGGGACAGCCGATGTGCACATCTTTTTTTACAGCTGATAAAGAAATCAGCAACCTCTGCTCACAATGAATGGTTCCAAAAGTTTATTTGGAAGAGGATCCAGCGACCGTGACCCATCATCGCTGCATCAGAATGCAAATTACAGGAACTTCCTGTAATAAAGACCTGTCACTGCTGTTCTCTCTCTTTGTCCGGGATGACTGGTCTTGACTCCACCCCCTCTTGTAGTGGGTGGAGTCTGCTGGGCCCCTCCCACAGCTCTGCACTGAGTACAGCACAGTGATGATTACTATTACAAGGTAATATCTGAGTCTGCATTTGGTCCACACAATCTGGAATTAAATTGTCAAAATTAAAGGACAGTCCTTGTATTTCATGGAGCGTTGGGGGAGTCTCTGTAGTAATCAGACCCGGCTCAGCCCTCCCTATCAGTCCACACTGACACCGATCACTGGTCGCACCCGCAGGGGTTAACACCCAGCCTCAGCAAACACCACCAAGCCCATTGCCGTGATTTGCATGGCGGACACGCCCACTCGGCGACGTGCTCTATCCGACCACGCCCCCATAGAAGCTCTGAACGGGGAGAGAGGCTTTTCTACAGTGTGCGAGAGCGCTGCCGTGACGTCGGCGGGGAGAAGTGGGCGGTACCCCAGCTGCCAGAAAAGTAACGCGGTGACGCAGAAGGCTCGGAGGCTGTCAGCTGCGCCCAGTCGTGCTCTCGGTTGCCGCATGTGTGCCTGAGCCGGGGGAGGGTTCGGCATGCTGGGGGTGAGAACGATGGAGAGCGGACGGTGAGGGAGGAGACGCCGGTCCTGTTACCTGGGTGCACACCATCTCATCCCCCTCCCTCCCTTCCCTGCTGCGGGATGGCCACCCAACACCACCATAGAGGCGCTGAGCCCCCGGGCTGCCCGGACCTCCACCAGCGCTCCCCCGGGGACAAGAATGACAAGTTACTCAACGGCTGCGTCCCCCTATCGCATCAGGTTGCTGGCCATATGTATGGCAAAGATAAAGTTGGTGGGTATTGCTGAGCTCAGCACGCTTCTGCTACTAACTGTGTTCCTGTGTGTGTGCGCGCAGATCAGTCCTCAGTCAGGTGCGGGTAAGGGGTGTGCCACCGAGCCAGGTGCGGGTAAGGGGTGTGCCACCGAGCCAGTACTCAGCCAGGTGCGGGTGTCACTTAGCCAGGTGCGGGTGTCACTTAGCCAGGTGCAGGTGTCACTCAGCCAGGTGCAGGTGTCACTCAGCCAGGTGGATGTGTGCCACTGAGCCAGGTGCGGGTAGGGTGTGTGCCACTGAGCCAGGTGCGGGTAGGGTGTGTGCCACTGAGCCAGGTGCGGGTAGGGTGTGTGCCACTGAGCCAGGTGCGGGTAGAGGTGTGCCACTCAGCCAGGTGCAGATGTCACTCAGCCAGGTGCAGGTGGATGTGTGCCACTCAGCCAGGTGCAGATGTCACTCAGCCAGGTGCAGGTGGATGTGTGCCACTCAGTCAGGTTCGGGTCGTCTCCTCTTACCTCATTCCTTACCTCACAGGTTGGGTCAGTATGTTGCAGGAAATGAGCCGTGACTGGGCCGAGGCTAAACTTTAGTTGATACTTTGTGTTTCTCTGTGAAATCCGCCAATTTCATGTGTAGAAAAATTGGAGTTTGGCACTAAATAGGTCCTAACATAACGTTGGCAGTATATGACTGGCATCCTCTGATGGAGCATCTCTGGTAACATGAATATTTCTATGCATCGCTGTCATAATGTGTACACGTCTTATTTGTATAAATGATCATTTGTTTTCTAAACAATATAATACTAGGAAAGGTCTAAACCTCCGCTAGTTTATTTGCTGCCTGTGTGCCACTGGGGTGATTTCTCCTCCCTTTGTGGTTTGGAGATACAGCAGGTAGTGGGTAACTGGTCTACAAATTGAGGGAATTCCTCATGGTTGTCATTTATGGAAGCGTTACCCTCACCTGGTCACAACTAAAACCTTGGATTTCCCATCACTGTCTGTCTTGGTGTCAATGGTCTCTGGGGCAAGTGGAGAAGGTGGGTCTCCCTAGTGGGGGTGCATCAATAAGAACTTGGAACAGGCTTCTATTTCTTCTACTCTAGTCATTGGATATGTTTCCTAAAATTTTGATGAATGTATTTTAGAAATGTACCTGTTGAGCCGGTGACAAGTCTCCTGCTGGTTAAGGACTACGCTTCATATGACTTGGTGTCCCGAGGTTTTCACTGATGGCATATTTGATGGTAGGTGAGGAAGGAACCATGTTCTGGACCCTGACAAGAAGTACAGGATATTGCTGGTGCTGTGAACAGCCTTGTATTGTGAAGTCGGTTTGATGCTTGGAAGCCTAGATAAAGCAGACAATGCATGTATACTCTGATTGTACAATCTCTGTTGAATCTCCTTTTTAAGGCCTCATTCGCACAGTGATTTTTGGTTTCCTGGGGCAGCAATTCCACATTTCCCATTAAGATGCGTCCTCTGTATCCGTTCCAAGTTAATGACCAAGTGACAGCGGCCACATCTGTAAGTGGCAGTCCGCATGTAATTGTATGTGATTTGGAATAGATCGCTGTTCCTGGATGCTCCTTCTGCAGGCTGGATGGTGACCAAGTTGCATTGCTTAGAGTGATTTTAAAGTCATGTTCTTGCTCCCTGCTCCTCCTCCCTCCCTCCCTTCTCCAAGTTAGTGGACAGACAGCTGCTGAACAATGTGTTCTACCTTTTGATCTTGTACTGGAAAGGAAGTTCAGGGAAGCTGAGAGAATTGGAGCTGTTCTGCAACATGATGATTGTAAGTGTTTGGGCAAAAATGTAAAGAAATACTTTGCTGAGCAACAGGGGTGCCCCGAGGCCGGGTGTCACACTGAGCTGAGACCGGGTGACACCCCACCGTGACGTCATTGCGCGGTCATCTAATTGCGGCCTGCCGGCTGCCCTCTTTGTGGTGTACGCCGGCAGAGAGGAGAGGATGTTCACCCGGCGGGATGAGGTATGCCGACTGCTCCCCTCCTCTCTCGACACTGTCAGGCTCTCGGTCCATGACCAAGTGCCCAACTTTTTAGAGGGGGTGACACCAAAATTACTATTAGTCACTTTGGTGTCACCCAGCTGCGGGCTGCACCACCTCCCTTATGACGCCACTGCTGAGCAATATATATTTGTTTGCTCTGGATTCCTTCTTGAAAAAGAGTTTGAGTTTAACTGCGGTAGGAAAGAGTGTGGTCACTGCCTTGGGTATTCCAATTCTTTGGTCAGGAGACATGGATTAGATATTTGTATTTGCAGTTATTTTCTTGGAGTGTGGATATAATCCTCCCTGCGGCTATACTTGCGTTGCCCAGTGCACATCAATGCACGTGAATAGCACTTGTTCTAAATGTCTGAATCCAGCATTGCTAGTGCATGGAGCCTGAGCATGGCTGGAAGGCCTTGTTGAAATCCTTACAGTGTGATGTTGAAGCTTGGGAACTCTCCAACAACCTGTGTGTATGTTAATACTGGCTGTTCACGGTGAAAGGTACAGTGACGGGAAACATTCAGAAACAAAGAGAAGTCTAATATTGGTTGCAGTAACCTCCAGGCATGCTAGTGTCTCTCTAACTTGTGTGCAATGTGGGAAAAAATATTATTAAAATTTTCAGTACGCAGCAGGCCTCCCTTAATATCTTTCTTTTTCTTTCTTGCTCCCCCCACCTCATTATGACCTTACCATGTACATTTCACAGCAGTGATGAGTTTGAGAGTTGTCCAGTGTTGGTGACGCTGTGCGAACTGTATCTTAATATCTGTTCGCTGCCGTAAGAGAAAATAGTTGATTTCTTTGGATGCTGTATCCTGTTATTTAAGGATTATCATGTGGAATTCAGAGGTGCTCTGGTTCGTTGTTGTAATGTGTTATTTAAGCAGTCGTAGACTTCTTTTATCTACTTGATGTTCCTCATCAAAGTGTATCCAAACTCAAAAACCAAAGGCAGCGTCCTCTGTAACCTATTGATACCATACTACATGAAATTTCCAGAAGCTCTGCCGTTTGTGATGCTGCTACTACCACATCTGGTGTCAATCTCTGTGTACGTTCAGTGTCACTTAGTTCATGCATCTCCCTGATTCTAACATTGCGCAAAAACAAAACCTCTTGGCCATGTTTGCTTGTTTTATGTACCGAGTTGCGGACACATGATTCATTTGTCATGGCGCTTAACTGATAAAGTGGCCGGAGTGTATATCTGTTTTGTTACATATCTTCTGTGGAAAGTGATTCATCAAGCCAGTTACTGAAAAATAAGTGCAATCTATTGCCAGGACATTTTTTCCGCATAGAGTGGGGGTAAAGTTAGAACTAGGGATGCACAGATACTGTTTTTTTCCAGACTGAGTATGAATACCTATACTTTTCCTCAAGTACTCACCGATGCCAATTACTGATGATAATCAATAAAATAAGTAATATATATAATTTTTTTTTGTCACACGACCGTTTTTCTAAAACAATAAAAATGGAATGATTTAGGACTGCATTGGAGCAACAGGGCCCAGTTGCAAATGCTGCGACCCTGGTAGTTCTGCCACTTGACTCCAAGCTGTAGAGGGATTACAAATCCCGGCAATACAGCAGTGCAGAATACCACCACCAACTATAGAGGAATACGAAACCCAGCAAAACATTATACAGCAATGTAGAATATTACCATCCGCTAAAGAGGACTACAAATCCCAGCAATACATTATACATTCAGGGCCAGTGCAAGGAGTGTTTCCTCTGCACCCTCAGGCGGCTGCCTATGCAGCCTTACGATAGTGCCAGCCCTGTCCTTTGGCACACCATGCAGATCGTGCCTATGTGCTGTCATCCGATCTATGGCTATCTCATACAAAGTCTCATGAAGCATCGTGCCATGGGGAGCCCACCATCCTCATGCACCCCCGGTATTTCCTGTCCTCAGCTCGCCGTGTCATTCATCTTGGCACAGTGAACCTGTGCCAGTCGCATACCTTCATTGAATAAGGGCCCGTTAAAACCATACAGTGCGTTCATGCCACAGTTCTGTTTCATGAACGCACTGGATTGCATAATCAAAGCCTCCCAGAATTCTGGTGCATGGGTGAACTCTGGGCAGAATAAAACAATGCTTGCAGCAGGGCTACCCCAGAGCTGCAAGGGTTAAGTGTTCATTGGGTCTAGGATCTAAAAGATATACTCACCCAAACCTTGGCCCTACCTGGCTGCTAGATTGGTCCCTGCAGACTCTCTCCCCCCTTCATTCCTGGTATGGCATATCCCTCGGCATCCTCATGCACTGTATTAGACGTGATTACTTACGCGTCATCAGAACGGCAGAGGGGGAGAGAGGCTGCAGTGACTAGTCTAGCGGACAGGCAGGACTGATGTTTGGGTGAGTATATCTTTGTTATTTTAGACCCCAGACAAAAATGAGCACTTACCCCTTGTAGTGTGGGGGTAGCCTTACTGCAAGGGTTAAGTTTAATTCTGCCCGAGTTCCTCTTTAAAGACTAGTTTATGCACTTTGACCTGTACTTTTACCACTGGAGTTTGCTTATTGCATGGCCAGGTTATTAGACTTGTTCACAACTAATGCGTTTTGCTGGTGTGCAGTAGTTAAATGCATTCATTCTGCATTTTCCTGTTCAAGGCAATGAAATGGTGTGCGTCACAATCATTAAAAGAAGTGTGATGTGCATCAAAATGCATTCCATAAATGTGAGAGGGGCTCCGTTCACAATTCAGGCTTTTTTGGAGTGTGGGTCTGTGTGATTGATTTTTTTTTTTTTTTTTTTTAAATTTTTTTTTTTTTTTTTTTT